GCAGATTCCTCATTATTTAATTTCTGTAAATATAATGCGGACTATAAAATTAAGAGGCAACAATCTGAAAAGTGAAACGGACATATAAAGAGATTCGACGCAAAATGCCGACTAATAGCTCTTTAGAGACTAATAGCTGTTCTGTGCTAACCACAACATTGGGCTAATAATCACGAAAATTTGAGTGAAGCAGCACAATTTTATTATTAAAATATATTATAGCTGTGAAAACTTCGAATTACTTCAATAAGTTTTACGCAAATTTATGCGAAAATATTTATACTCCTGGTCATCGTGCTTGCTCTCCATGTTATCATGGTTTCTCTTATGCGAATTGACTGACTATCGGTTATTCGATTACTTAAGAATGGTTATTTCTGTCTAAAGTCTCCTGTTTCGAGCGACTGAGAGAGAATTAAAAATGTTTTTAACACGCAATAAGAACTTTTATTCTTCCATTTCTAAGAAACCTATTAATTTAACCTTCATTCTTTCATTTCCTTTGCATGCTAAGCATTTTTTTATAAGTCAGGTTTTGAACTTATTTTTATAAACTTTGAAGTAAATTATCTTTGAAGTGCCATTATTTGAAGATTTCATAAAATCACGTCAAAACGTTTAGTGGCAACATTTTCCCTGAAATATTGCACAAAAAAAAAAAATATAAATTTTTAAGAATAAAAGATTTTTTCCCGTTTATAAATAACATTTGCTGTTTAGATTATAAGGTATTTCTCTCGCGTTCGTAGCATGCCTTCATAATGTAGTGGCCAACATGCTGGGCGCGTATTCCAGAGGTCCGTGATTCGATTCCCGGGGAAGGCGTTGCTCATTTTTCACTTCTCCTGCTTAAAAAAAAAAAAAAAAAAAAAAAAAATCCTAATGTCCCTACACTGGCGCCCGAACTAAAAGGGTGGTGGATGATGATCCTCCACACCCAGGATTTGGCGACTGGGTCCACTAAACTCCAGTCTCCCTTTAAAAGGGGGGGTATATTACGTATTTTTCCCACCTTCTTCGTAGTGTAGTGGTCAGCACGCCGGGCGTGTATTCCAGAGGCCCGTGGTTTGATTCCAGCGGAAGGCGTTGCTCATTTTTTACTTCTCCTGCTTCCAAAAAAATTCCTAATGGCTCTGCAAGCTCCAGATATTTGATGCCACCTTGTGTCACAGTGATGTCTCATTTTGATGCCACCTTTTGAGTAAATTATGGTATCCCCTGCAACTGTAGCTTGCAACATACAATTCAAGCCAGACAGGGTTTAAGAACTTTACATTAAAAAGCATATTTTATATAGCTGAAAACAAAACACATAAATTCTTCGCTGTTAAATAATTTTGAGCTGTTAACTGTGATTTACAGCAATCTTCTGCCGAAATTATTCAAAAACACATTTAAATTATTCAAAACCCATTTTATTTTTTAAGAAGATTAACGAATCTGTGAAACATTTTTCATATAAAAATAAAAACAGTTTTCAGATTGATTAATGATATTAATAATTTATTTTCGTAAAGTTATTCAACTTAAAAAGTACTAAGTTTACTAGAGTTAAAAAATATTATTCAATACAGATTTTAAGAGGAATAAGTTATATCTCGCATCAAAAGCGTCGTATTTGGAATCCAAATTTTTAAATCCAAATTTTAGAAAGCGTGACTTAAATATTCACTTTTTGAGCAATGAAAGCATATCAGATATCGATCACATAGAATAAACATTGGAGTTACGTACTTAAGGTAAAATGAATGGAAAGGAATAAAACAGATTTTCCGAATTAGAAACAACAGAAAAAGTATGTTACATAATGAATTTTGTTATGCAGTTTTATCTCGATAATGAATAAATTTCTAATAAATAAATAAAGAAGAAAATTTGAAGCTTTCAGATACATAAATACTGAGAGTTTGATGTTCTTCGCACTTTAACCATAAAATTCATTTCAACATAAGTATGGCAAAATAATTTAAAAAGAACATATATTTAGAATTTACGATACACAGTGTTGCGCGCTGGAGATAATTTTTTTGTTTTGCTTTCTTTTGTACAGTGCTGCCATTTCTCGTTGAATTTCTTAACCAAAAACTCATAAATGCTTTACAAAATATGAAATAGATAATAAAAACAATTTCCAAATTCCAAATTTGAACTTCCAGATGCCCATATTCGGATGGAGCCGTGCGTTATTCAAAATTGGATGGCTCTAAGTACCATTGCTTTATCACAATGCGAGAAACATATATACATTTATGTAGATTCTTCATTATTTAATTTCCTTAAATCTAATTCAGGGGAATAATATTTGCTGGCAACAATTTGAAAAGTGATACAGGATTTTAAAATTTTCGAGGCAAAATGCCAAAACGAATTTAATTACCCTTCTGAGCTTTGGGCTAAAAGTGTTCCGATTCGATAATGAATTCACAGAGCATGAGAACACTTTGATTTCTGTTCGAAGAAACTCTGAATATGGATACATAAATGCATTTGCTATTTTGATTTGATATATTTGCTATATCATTCAAATTCAGAGTTAATTAGTACACGACAGAGTAGGTGATGCTTGAAATGTATTTTAAGTATTATCATAACGTATTAGTTCATGTATCACGTATGCCTATAACAATTGATAACTTAGCCTGACCCCTACGTCCAGCATTCTTTCAAGAATTTTTAACTAATTTGTCTGAATAGTTGACACTTACACATATGAATTTGAATACTTTGGCTGTTTTAAAAATATACTTGAATGATCTAAATTTCTAAATTGTTTGCTTTGAGGTGAATTTTAATGGAGTTTCTGCGTTTAAGATCAGAGTTAATTAATTAAGTAGTATTAAATGATTTTTTTTTATTTTAAGCAAAGTAGATAGGATGGGTATGTGAAAGAATTCAAAAGAAAAACGAATTTTTCTCATTACATTTTTGGAGCAGGAAATCTGTAAACATCAAGTGTGACCGCGTCGATAATTGAGTCTGACTCTGTTAATATTTTTATAACCTGATATTACATTTGGGAGATTAGGTTTTTAATTTGGTTCATCTAATAACGGCAAAGCACCCCACGGCTATCTGCTTAAGAGAAGAAAGATGGTATATCTTTGAAATCATACTTTTTTTAGAAAAAATGGCACATATATACGTTTAACCTGGGGAAATCAACGGAAAAACCCCTGTGCAGCCAGCCCGTTACCCCGGATTCGGAACAAACTATCAGTGTTCACCTACTTTACCGCGCGGCCGTTTGTGGGCTTTTAGAGATTAGAACTGCTTATTTATTTAGACAAAGCGGGCATGAATTATTTGCCTGTATAGAATGATATTGTTGTGGAAGAAATTTAAGCAGGTTCGTATTTGCATAAGACGTGAGAAAACTACAGAAATGACTTGCAGCATGGCATCTTATTACCCGGAATTCGAAATAACAGTGTGTAGAGGATAGGGATGCTTAATTACTAGTAAGTCTTTAGATTAATAGATATGGATTCTCTAAAAACATACGAAAATCTTCTGTATCAGATTTTTTAAGTAATGAAACTTATGACGTTTGGCAATTAGTAAACATACTGCCGGACTGTTAAGACTTGTTTTAAAGAGGTCTAGATTGGTATTCGGATATATCTAATGCAGAGATCATATTTTGCAGCTACAGTATTGAGTGAATTAAAAACTACTGGTTCTTTACAAATGGGATGAAAATTATTTAGAATATTGATTTTTGAAACTCTGAAAAAAGATGTGTTTTAAAAGATTACTGAATATTGAATTTTAACCCTTGGTTAAAATTCTGATAAAAACTTACAAGTAAAGCTTTATTATTTCATTATTTTATAGTATGTCAGAATGCTACTATAAAAAGAATTATTGTGAGTTTGGGAATTTTTTTAACGCCTTACTGTTACCTTACTGAAATATCAGTAATTTTATGAATAAAAATTGATATCTGTTAAAGCAGAAAAATGATTCATTTCGAAGTATTTATTATGAATAAAATAGCACTCATTAGGTTTTAGATACCGCCCGAACGCGATAGTGGTTAGTGACTCTGACTACCGTACTGAAGGGTCCGAGTTCGAATCCTGGAGAGGCATGGATGTTTGTAAATGTATATTGTCTTTACGGCATGGGGGGCACTACAATATATATGGCGAGCTTGAAGTCTTCTCGTGGGGACTGGTGGTAGGTGAAGAGGGGTGGAAGATACTCAAACTCACTCCTCGGGGTTTTCCCATCAAAACTAGGGTGAAACTGAGCAAAATCGTACTGTCACCTATATGCTGTCCAGGGCTTTTGCCAACAGCAGGCATATCTTGTACTCCTTGCCGCGATGAATATCGTGGGGTTGTTCTGATATCAGCCATATGAGATTAGTCACAACAACAGCAAATAGATTTTAGATGAGTTAAAGATATATTTGAGATAAAATATGTAAATCCTTGACTAAATACATTTACAAAAATCTCATCTTGATAACCATAAATATATGAGCTAGCATTAAACAAATTGTGTCCAAATATGATTTAATTTTAGGTTCATTTTCTCAAACAAGAAAGAAACTTTAAGTATGCATATCTTATAGAATCAAAGAAATGTTTTATTGAATGCAAATTGCTAAAAAAAGAAAAAACTAGAAATTCAGTAATTCGGCATATTCACTCTAGCAATAATTATTTCCAATATTAATAATGGTATACAGCGATCTTATGTAAATCCGCATGCGTGTAAAGATAAGACACAATCTTAAGCAGTTGCTGACTATACATATTCAATCATTGTATGCATGTGTAAACAGAAACTGTTCAGATTTCGAAGTTCTCGCGGTTAGAAACTATTACAAATTCTAATGCCAATGCATAATGTTTCGTGATGAGTAGTGCTTTGCTTCAAATCACGGCATAGTTTACTTAGGTTTAAGCAAAGGACTGCAGAAGGCAGGTTCACAATATGAAGGAAGTATCTTTAATAACAGGAGAAATCTAGAAGTAAGACACGATATTTACCTTCCTCTTTGACTTGACGCTCTCGATTTGCTTCTGGGTGCACTCCCCAATACTCTGACTGCCCCACAGCTCACGTCCCACTCGGAAATAAGTGAAAGTCATTGATGTAATGGGCAGCACATATGTGACTACCAGGATCACGACGTTGTAGCTAAAAGAGGAAATGGAAGTGTATTAGAAGACTTTCACGTATTGTTTACGCATTGGACATTGAAGATAACACCGAATATATAAATAATTTGGTTCAACTGAATATATAAACAATAGCTTTTAAAACTTAATCTAATATGCTCTAAATGAAAATATAAAAAATTACTAAAATGTAAGAAGAATGCGTTATTATTTTAATTTATGCAACGTAAAATGTAAAACATCTAGAGTTTATAGTTCCAAAATAGTGCACATTTTTAACTTACGTGTGCAATTTTGGTGCATGAATTACACTCCCATCCCCCATATATATATAATTAATTTGGATAAAATTGCAGTAGGACTGAAAAACATTTCCTGCTCACAATATTGCTAAGGTATATTCATTTTATAATTTTGCAACAATTCTTATTTCCACCATTTCTGATTTGCAAAACCATTAATTGACTAAATTTTCTTTATTTCTCAAACTTATATATATGTGTGTGTATGTGTGTGATGATATAATTTAGTTCCTTGCAGTAATTTGGTATGAGACGAACGCTTGGCTAAGGAAGACATTATTTTGCAGTCACGAGTGGATTCAGGTTAGATGATCTCTGAAAATATCTATTATGTAGTAGAAGATGCGGTGAAGAATCACAAAAATCACTTGATAATGTGTTTATGAATGTTTATGAATAATGTATTACGTGGAATTAGGTTTCAGGTATGACACAGTTTCGAGAAAGGTGTAACTATAGAGAAAGATGTAACCAAATTGAAAAATGAGCGAATTAAATGCCTATTACTAAACTGAATTATAGAGCTGAGTTATGTATTTCTAATACAGATATATATATATGTGTAATGATTTCAGTTATTCCAGCACATCGTGGGCGAATGGTGAGGCTATTCCATTTCACGTTCTGGCAGATGGTTGACGAAGCTTCGATGATTGAAGTACGGAGAAAAATAACGACTCAGGACTTTTCACTTTTAACAGCAAGCATATCTTTATTTTAATTTATAGCAGATGACTTTTCCAGATGAAGTTAATCATATAACTTATTCAGTAATTGAACTATTAAATACGACTGACTTTAAACTTTAATACGTCATAACGTTCTAACAAAGAAACAGGAGCATAGCGGAAGCGTTAGCAGGACGAAGGAGAGAAGGCATCTGTTTAGGAGAACTTACGACGCAGCATTTATATGAAAAGTTATGTAACAGAGTAGCTTCTAGAAAAATGTAGAAAAACTTATGACGCAGCATTTATATGAGAAGGTTATGTAATAGGTGCGAATGTTCTAGAAGGTACTGGTTTAGGGGAAGATCCTGAATTGCAGAAAATTAATTAAAGGTTGCTGGTTCGCAAAGAGCAAAGCCATCGTATTTTTTTTTTTTTTTATATTTTACATATATATTCAAAACATCAATATAAAGTGTCTTTTAAAAAACTCAAAGAACAAATTATACACAAAAATAGCGCTATGAGTTGCTAGTTTTAAAATTAATTCAAATAGTAGATAACTTAAATCCTAACAAAAGCCACTAAAATATTTGAGATTATCCTTTCATTTTCCTGAAACATTCAGGTAGCGGCTTTTGTTAGGATATAATTATCTACTATTTAATATATATATATATATATATATATATTATATCTGTACAGATTTATATATATAATATAGATATAATATATCTGTAATATATCTGTAAGATAGAATGATGCAATAGTTTGGAATATCGTTAAAGATAGATAGTATTGCACACTAGAAAAATGCTTTAAGTCTTGATGACACGTTATAAATGCAGAATCAATAAGTTGCAATAGTGGCCGAAATAAAAATATTCGCTTTTCTTTATAGTTGGCACACATTTTTGTTCAAGTCAACACAACTTTGCCACAGGAAATGGGACTTTCCTTAAAAACTATACTGGTACAGTTACATTATTAAAAATACAAATTGAAGACAGATGAAACAAGCCGCCTATTAAGAATAGTAGAAACGAAAGATGGCTTATTTCAGAATGAAAGTTTGTTAAAAAGGAAAGCATTTTGGGTTTAACCCCTTTCAATGGTTATTGAATGTTTCGATAGCAGTTGGTTGACTTAACAGTTTACAAAGTATAAAAAGGGGTAATCTTAAAATTACACTAGAGAGTTAACGGTCTATTGCGAATTAAAAGTGCGAATTTTTATTTATTTTTTGTTATTTTAGATATACAGACATACAGACAGGCAGTCTTCTCTAGACCAACCGGAGGTGAATTAGCCGAGTTAAGGATTAACTGAACCTTGTGTTAAAACAGTTAATTGCGGAATAGTGAAAAATATTATAGTAAACTATTAGTTCAAAGTAAAACAGATCGCAAAAACTTTGTAAAAAATAATTATAATTTTATTTTATTTTACTTTTTACTTTTTACGAGAATTTGATCTTAATCGCATTGCTGAATTCTGTTTTTTAATACCATTTACAAATTACTTTCTTCATTTGTGAATGAAATACGTTCTTCTACTCCGTTATTTAAAATGTGTTCCCTAGGTTTTGAATTCAAATTTAATTTATAGAACAATGTAACATATTCTCCAGATTAAAATACTTGAAAATACAGGTAAATTGTTAGGAGTATATTCGCATTAACTACAACATGAGTTATTCGTTTTTTCTCCTTACAGTTTTCAGATTAAATGTGAATTGGAGCTTGCTCCGATATTACTCCGCATAATCGAGAGTCGACGGAGATATATTTTCATATTTTTTGGGTTACGAAAATTGTATTGTCAGAAATAATAATTATGATATTTTAGAAAATGAGGAGCACAACTTCAAGAGCCTAAATTAGGGTTTACATTATATGGATGATTTTAAAGCAAGTACTTCAGTTCCAGAGATAAAGATATAAGGATTAAAAATTATACTCAACAGCAAAGAGAGCAGTAATTATTCTTAATATTAAAGCGAAAATTATACATAATGTTACTAACATTAGATGAATGAAATCTTCGACATTACCGTAACAGAACAATAGTAATTCTCAGTATTCTGAAGTCAGAATCCATGCATACATGCATATGTATTCCAGAAATAGATATTGTATATGAAGTATAAAAAAAGCATTATGCTTTTCATTGAATAAATTTGTATCTTTTGTGTTCTTTAGCAATCTTTAATTTTATTTTTCTTTTCTTTTCGACTCCCTTATGAGTATTTACTTTTATTAACGGTTGTCTTACGAAACTGAAAGGAGTATGTCGTGTGATTGATTACATCTAAGCAGTCTATGCAATAATAATGCTGCGGAAAGGATGATTTTCTATCATAGATAATCATATGATATGACGGCATTATTTTGGGCCAACATCATAAACACCAATAACTTCAATGGAAACATTCAAGCCCTCCTCCATCACAAAGCTCCAAGATAAGCTACACTGAGCGAGGCAGATTTTGTTGAAATTTTGACCTGGAAGAAGGGCTCCTTGTCATCTTTATGGAAGGCAGCGTTACTGGAAATGCACAGCATTATGGGGCCGACATTAACTCCTTTGCAAAGTCGATCAACTCGAAAAGAGGTAGAAAACGTTCCAGAGTCATTCCTCTCCTCCATGATAAGCTGGATTGAATTCGGCGGATGGAACGAAAGATCTCCTGGGGAAATTAAACTCAGGAGCTTTGAGAGACAGCAATTCTAGTCAGACGATTACGTAAAATAAACAGTTTTAAAATGCAGTCAACTCCCGATTAAACAGGTTCAGATTAATTGCTTAAAGGAAAGTCAGAACTCGCTATACCGAAAGCGTTAAATTGGCCATTTTCGATGTACGTTATGTCAAAATCTACTGTAAATACACGTTTGAATTTTTTGGTGTAATTAAATTACATCTGTCTGATTATATTGAAGTGTGCTTTTGAAACAATTTGAGATTTAAGAGTAATTTATAGAATATTGCGTTAGGCACAGTAAAATTTATCACTCTTTTCACAAAATGTTTGTGAATTTTTTTTTTTTTTATAGTTTGTCACAAAAAGCTCATTTCAGTAAATGTTAGGAAAAGGTACGTCGAGTATAAAAAATCACATTTGGAGAAAAACACAGTTTTATGTAAAAACCCTCATTTATCAAAGCATTCGATGATAAATTAAAACTAGACCTTTTACAGTTCTAATTTTCATAGAGGTTAAAGTATGGTATTTTTAGAAAGCTAAACGTGTAGGCAATTTGAGAATGCAGAAATCCCAAATGGCCATTTTTGAAGATGTTTTGCTTCCAACACCCCTTAATTGGGTCTCGTCTAAAATATATTTAAGTTCGCTTATTGCACGAACAATTGACAAATTACTTTCCCAAACCTTCAAAATTAAACAAAATTTTTCCAGGAAATATAACGAAGAGAGTTTAAAAATAAAATACGGGTACAACTATTAATTTTCTGTTTCCTGCTAAATTCTATAGAAATACAAAAGTGATGCAAACAAAAGCATTCTTCTTTCTGTTTTTAAGTGTATACTTGAACGTTTTAAATTCTGATTTAATATACATAACTACGTGAACGTTTATGTCCAGCTATATAAACAGTACATTCAGGGTTAAAACGATGTAGGTTAACCGGGCTGGCAAGTTAGTCGGTCCTTTGTTTATTTTGGAAGAATATAAAAATTGTTAACACAAACCATCAAAATAAAGCAAAATTTCTATAGGTAATACGAAGAGAAGTAAAAAATGCCTGAGATTGTCTCTGTGTCTATGCATGTATATAGCTGTTGAGATTACAGAAATATAATTGTCGTCAAATTTTTGATAAAACTTCAAGAGGATGTAAAGTTGATTATAAATTTAAAATCTACAATTTGTAGTCACGTAATACGTGAATATTTATCTCTGTATACATGCATAAATAATCTGCTATTTTTTTTTTTTTTTTTTTTTTTTTTTTTTTTTTTTTTTTTTTTGCTTGTCTCAGTGATAAAGAGATTTTCTACCATCTATCTTCTAATTGTGGAGTGAGCA